ATATATCTATATATATATATATATATATATGTATATATATATATATATATATATATATATATACATATAAAAACATAAAAAAAGAAAAATGATGTAAAGATGCCATCAGTTCAAGTCCTTGTGTATCATTGTAGCAATGTCAGAAGAAAATGCTGGAATCACCAGATTTGTCAGCTCTATTTGGAGCGAACTACTGTAAACTGACAAATCTTTAGGACAAACCTGCTTCTTTGTGGAGAAAAAAAAAAATGTTGCAACAGGTGCCCTTCAAAGTAAGAGCTTGATCACCGTTCTGCGCGGAAATGCACGCGGCTATGCAGACAGATTCTCCTCTGTGCGGCCCTGGCAAAGTCTTTTGGCTTTAAAGCCTTCGTCTTTTCACTAACCATAAACCAGATAAACAGGGATGGAGTTAAAGCTCTGCGCATTCTGACGCTTCTGGCTTCGCTGTCAAACCGTCAGACAGGTGAGCACGGATAAAATAACAGCTCAGATGTCTTTAAACTTCAAGAGTGAGGATTTTATTAGCTGATATGTCTAAACAGAATCAGGATACTACTCAAGATTAATCTTAGTATTTTCAAATAATTTTCTGCATAAATTTAACTCTTTTTTTTTCTGATAATAAAAAATTACAAAAAAAAAACAAAAAAAACAAAAAAAAACAAATATGTAGAATGTTTGGTCCAATCAGCACCTGTAGTTAAATTACAAATAAATTTAACTTGTGTTTATGAAACGTTTTTGCTTGAGTCAATAAATCACAATTACGTTTTTCAACAAATATAACTTTAATAAATATGTTTGTAATTTTATTCAACTATCAGTAAAATACGCTTCTGTTTTTCCAGTAACAGCAGTTCTGATTTGTTTGTTGTCACTTTTGCGTAAATACTGCGGCGCTGTGCCGTTTCCTGCTCATCGTCATACTGCTCACGCCTCATACCAGCCCATGCCTAACGTTAGGACGCTTGCAACTCAGCTATTCATTTCCAAATTCTTGAGTTTTTCTCGACTTGAATGAAACCGTTTTCATCTGCTTGTGCAAATAATCAATCAAACAAGCAAATTAATAATGTCTGGTAATGAAAAGCTCTCATGTTGGAAGTTCTGTATTTTAGGCTTATAGAGCAGACTTCTGAGTCATGTACCTGTATGGAACAGTTTGGTCCAGTGAAGAGAGCCTTATAAGCAGATGCGGCCACAGAAAGGGCCCCTTTGACAAGTCCCTCTGTGATGCCTCCTTGGCCCCTGGTGCAAACACAGTCACACTCACTGATTATACTAATTACCTCTCAGGTTAACAGACTAAATTCTGTTGCAGTGCAGCATGAAAGAAAGGAAAAAAAGAAAAAGAAAAGAGACTACAGCACAGAAATTGTAGCATAAGAAGTTTTACTCTGCTGTTTTGCACCTTGGCTGCAGCGCTTTGCCCGCTCTCGGATTGTACGCCTCAAAGGCACTGCATGCTGAGCCGGCTGATCTGGACAGACCGGATGATACTAGAAAAGGAAATGACAACCCACAAAAAAAACAACAAAAAAAAAAAAAACTGATTAGATGAGGAACATGAGTTTTTTTTTTTTTTGTCTTTGTTGAAGCAACAAATCCTGAAAACCTTCCGTGCTGCGTTAGTTCCTCTCTTCCTGCAGTGGTTATAATGCGTTTCCTGAGTTGCCTTAACTTCCTTCTAAAATTGCTAAGTCATGTAAACACAATGAGTCTAACCAGCAGACTGAGTGGCAATGGTAAAAGGTAAACTGTCTGGTTTTACAGTGATAAATATGCCACCTCTTAGTTTTATGTGCCAGCCTATGTAGTATATCTGCAGTCTGGTGAGATCCAGTCACCGTGATGGTTTAAACTCACCATTTAGGTGAACCCGTGGTTGTTGCGGCTCGTACGATTCGCAGGCCGGAGGACTGGGATCCCCAGCCAGATACAGCGCCTCCGATCTGAAACGTGGATAGAAACTTGACCACTCGAGGCGGTGCTGCGGTGTGGCAACCACCTTCCGTTTCAATAACAAGAGTTAGAGGCTCTTGAAAGCCCTGGTCTCACCTGGGCGAGTAGATGACCGGTGTGGGGTGCAGGGGCTGAGGCACGACAGGCGGCGGCACCACTTCAGGCGTGAGCGTCACGGCGTCGAGCGTTTGCGACGCGCACAGCATCTGGTTCACGCTGCTGTGGATGGGCGAGACGTGAAGGGGCCAGGTGTTGCCCAGCGACTCCTCCACGGCGATGGTCTCTTCTTCCTTCCTCTCCATCAGCGGCGCCTCCCTGCACGGCTCAAAGTTGCAGGGCTCGTCCTTTTCCTGCTCTTGGTCCGGGTCGGTCGAAGAGGCCGCGGTGGCGCTCGCGGCGGCGGTGTCGGGCTGCGACATGGCGGAGCTGTACATGGACTCGCCCAGGGGCCGGCTGGTGTCGAAGCAGTCTGGGAGGACGATGATGTAGTCGTCGCTGGAGGAGACGGAGGACGTCTGGCTGCTGACCTGAACCAGGAGACCAAAAAAGGCTTTTAGGCTCCGAATAGGTGCTGAAAAATGACGGGTTGTGGAAGCGTCTGTTTTTTTTCTGGTTGAGACACGTATTAATGAAGTGCTTTTATGGGGAAATGCTACAAAAAATATATTTACTGACCCTAACAGTTCATAGTTCGCATTGGATTTTGTTTGGGGACATTTTATGGTTACTACTTTGTGTTGCAGATTACTCACCTAAAATTCTAAAAAAGTATAGCAAAGTATGTGTCTGATAAAATGTGTAAACATTGAAAGCATGTTTATAACATCACCTCATCCCAGTCTTCTCTGGTTCTGCCTTCTTCTTTCTCGCAATTCTTCTCCTTCATGTTTTGCATAGTGTGCAAAACCTCTTTGTCTTCGTTATCTTGATGTGAGCTGATATTAAGGTTTACATTTTCGGCTCCGAACTCAGGATCTACCAAGTGGGGGGGAGGGAGGAAAAAAATGACCAAAATAAACATCCTGGCTCAAGAAGGTCCAGCTATAAAATAAAGGAAGATTACATGTGTTGTTTGTTTGTTTGTTTTTTCCACTCACCCGGCCTTGAGTCGTCCTCTCCCTGGGTCAGTTGGTTGAAGACGGTATTTACAGGCGGCGCTATACTCTGGATTCTGTCGGCATTCATCTCCTCCTGCTTAACTTTCGCCTTCTGCTTCTCCTCCACCCCGACTCCCCTCTCAAAGCCAAAGCCGGGCCCCCGGGTAACAACTGCAAGGGTTGGAAACAATGTTCAACAGAGAGAGAGAGAGAGATTAAAACACAGAATCTCCCTCTCTGGCGTTAAACTCCAAGAGGAGCCGATTGCAGCGGCTCACCCTGCGGTTTGAGGCTGCTGTGCTTGGCTCGGCGCAGGGGCCTGTGGTCCGGGGCCTCCTCCAGCGTGAGGGAGCGGATCACCGTCTCGCAGAGGAACTGAGCTCCACTGATCTCCTCCTCCTTCTCCTCGTCTTGCGCTACGGGCTCCAACACGTCTTTGGGCCTCAGTTTGACTCCTTACGGAAAAAAATTATAAAGGACGAAACAGTTTTAGGATCTGTTCTGAGTTTTTTCTTGTTCTAGAATATTTGTTGAGCGAGAAGAAGGGATACGGGTTGTTCTTTCTATTTCAGAGGAATATACACAGGGATTAGCAACTAAAGGTTCTAATTGCAGGCCTTGAAAGAAACTTTCTATTATTTGACTGAATAACCAAATCAATTTCCAGAATAACTTAAAAAAAATGTCTTTGAACATAAACACCTGTTTGTGTTTAAAATGTTTAAGTTTCCCAATTAGACAACTCTAAAGAGTCAGCAACAGAAAATGGCTCACCGAAGAGTTTGCGGACTCCTGTGGTCTCCGACTCGTCCTTCGTCTGTGAAGTCATCGTCCTTTCCAACAAAGATGAATCATTGGGGAGGGGAGAGATGCAGGGAGTCAAAGCTGGAACAAAAACAGAGAGAGAGAGAAAAAAAAAATAAAATATATATTCCAGTTCAGGGCTGAGTTTTTCAGCACTTTGACTCACCAACGGGAGTGTTGTTGGGGACTTTTTCCAACTCTTGCACAATATTTATGTCCAGCAACTCAAATGAAAGCAGATCCTAAAAAATAAAAAAAAAGTAAACAGAACAATGAAAATTCAAATTACTGTGGTGTAGTAACAGATGATGAACATTCAAGCCAGCTGCCATGAGACCCTCTGTGGGTTAGATCCCCTTTACTTCTCAGGATTCATCTGATTTCGGAGTTTACTATGATGACGTTTAAGTCACTGTCCTAATTTAATCAGCTGTTTGATAAACTGGACGACTTCTACTACGGCTATGAGGAGAACAGGAAAAAAAAGTACTAGAAAACCTGTTTTAAGGAGACCAAAACGAGAAAATTTGCAGTGAAAAATCAACATAATGGTTTTATTTTTACTACATGGGTACTAAAGTAAGAGTATTAATGCATCATTGTCTCATTGTCATGAAAACACAGACCAAAGATTTGACTGTTAATATGAATATATTCACGTTTGTGTAAAAGTTCACACAAGCAGTGGCAACAAAAAGAAAGAAAAGCATAAACTTCTGATACTTTTCTGTACACTGAACTGCGGCTACCATTCTTATTTCCGTTTGATCAACGCGCGACTTGAAAATGACGTGACAGAAAACGGCTTCGCGTTGCGCGAGCACCTGTGCGGTCAGCAGGTCGACCGATGGGAAGTAGAAGTCTTCTTGGGGGAGGTCTGCAGCGAAGGCAGGGCCACTCTCCTTGGGTGTCGCCTCCTTCTCCGCCGGTTTCACCTCCTCCTTCTGAAGCACAAACAGGATGGCCTGTCAGTGTACCAACCCTCACCATAACAACCATGTTAAATCTTCATGGACATTTCCGATTGTTTTTATAGTAATAAAAAAAAAATTCCTGTTCATTCTATCCCTAACAAATGATCCTTTTTCTTTTCTTTTATTGTTTTTTTTTGTTTTGTTTTTATGGGACACAAAAGTTGTAATATAAAGAATAAAAGGACACAACAACTTTGCTAAAGTGCTGAGTCGGTCCTAATTTTTTCTGCATTTCCCTTCAAAGCAGCCAAGTTTATTTTTTTTTTATTTTTTTAAGTTTTGATGCAACACTTCTCCAAGCTTTCTGAAGGACTTAAATAATTTTACTTCTGGACTTTGGCTGATTTTGTTTTACACATTTTCAGCTCAGTATGTGATTTTATTTTATTGGTTAAGCAACTTCAACTTAAATCTATGAATCATTCAAGAACAGAAATAACCAAAGACTCAGAGGAATAACCAGTGTTGAGTTTTTACTGGATAACGGCTAATTTAGGCCCCCATTTCACCAAATTTCAAATTCCTGCGTGAAGGCGATTGAGCGGCTACTGTATCTACTCACCAAATTGTTTTTTTTTTTTTGTGTGGTTTTTTTTGCCACTGTTTCCAAGGCCATATCACAATGCTACTGCTAAAGGGACAACCTTCTCTGCACTAGGATATTATCCTCACAATCTGTGGATATTCCGTATGTATAAAAGAGGTTTCTGCACCTCCACCATCAGTTTTAGCCATACTGTGGGGGAGGAAACAGTCAGCTTATCAGCGGGGTATCAAAGGATGCAGGGGATTGGGCTAGTGCCGTAGTAAGACGAGGGCATGCACACAAAAGTCTCACTCATCAATATGAGCTGATCACACCAAAGATCTGAATCCTTTGTTTTTATGGCGTTCCATGGTCACCCAGCAGAACTGTTGGCAGCCATTTTGATGGAGAGCTCATGGGCCTGAGGATGCCTGCCATCCATCCATCCACCCACCCACCCATCCATCCATCCATCCATCCATCCATCCACCCACCCATCCTCCACCAGGAGACTGAGCTTCTCACCATATCTCTAACCAGACGCTCTGCAGGGGAACCCTTTATCACCTGCCTGTATCCGCGATCTCAATATTTTGTTCACTACCCAAAGCTTTTGACTATAGATGAGGGTGGAAACGTAGATCGGCATGTAGATCTTTGGGCTCAGCTCTCTTTTCACCACACCAGACCAGTCTCATGTATCCAGGTGCTGCTGCTTCCAGTCTTCTCCTTTTGTGCGAGTTCAACGCAATCTCTGAACCCTGACACTCCATCAAACACAATGTGGAGCACACTGCCTGCCAAACTCCAGTCCTCAAGACCTAATGTCCAGTAACTTTTAGATGCATCAACTGCTCCAACACACCTGAATAACATCAATGGATCGTCACCAAGACTTTGCCAAACTTGATGCCATGCTGAAGGGGTAATTCAGTTATTTGACTTGGCTGTGTTGAAGCAAGGACACATCTAAAAGTTGCAGGGCATCAGCTCCAAAGAACTGCATATGGAGACTCCTGATCTAGACCTGCCAAAACTGTCGATGTTCTCGGTCAACTTTAACGTCACGGTGCGATCCAAGTCCGGTGTGAAGTAAAGAATCATCTTATAAATTAATAGTTGGGCATTTTGTTTCTATCAGTGACTCATCATTTTCTTAGTAAAATCTATTGAATAGTTTTTGGTATTAAAATGAGTATTGAAGGACCTACAGGGTGATTACCAAAGCACAATTAGCTTAAAAGTATACAGCAGATGGTTTGCTAAAGGATTCTCTGTCAAGTCTTAGATGGATTTCTCCATCCACTTGCTTAAAACAAGACTTTCAAATACAGTTGATCTGAGGTAAGACAGTTGGTTGTTCTTTGGTGTTTTTTGGGGCAGGTGGAAGGCTGAGGCACTTCAGAATGCTTGGAGAGCTGCCATTTCAAATCAACCATAGGACATAGGACTATCATAGGACAGTCGGGCTCCTTGGTACGAAAACATGAAGACATTATGGGTGATTTCATCTAAATATCTATGTAACCAGATTATTGCAAGTAGGTGATGTCGCTGCGTGTGAGACTTGCCAATCGCTTGCTTTGGTGCCCGAGCCCGTTGCGGCCGCTGCCAGAGTCGACCACAATGCTGCACCAGACCCGCGGGCCGAACTGACAGCCGCAGTGCGCCAGCCGCCAGTGGGAGGTGTACATCCCCTCCATGACGGGAGCCACAAAGGCCACACTGACCACGCCCACTTGTCCCGGAAGCAGAAGGGGCACTGGAACCTCCCTCCTCTCCTCCGACGCCAAGCCGAGGTTTCCCCACATGAACACTAGCTGCGTGCACGCACACACACATACACAGGACACAAAAAATAGGAATACACATGCGAAAAAGCACAAAGACAAAGAGCATGCAAACCAGAGTAAACACAACAGAAAATAAAATAAATAAATAAATAGTCATGCGTTCATACTGAGGGGGGCAACACTCATTTTACATCCAGACAAAGACTTAGAAACTTGAACCACAACATAAACTTAACTGGATTAAATAAGAAACAACACTGGATAAACACAGGTGCCTCTAAATAAATTTAAATGTCTTTGAAAAGTTACATTTTTTTTTCAGTGTTTCCGTTCAAGAAAAGAAACTCATATTAAACAGATCTATTCCACAGAGAATGACATAGCTCTAAGTTTTATTTTAGTTTGGATAACTATGGCTCGCAGCTAATGAAAAGACAACGTTCATGTAGCTACTACTCACATAAACAGATTAGCTGGCTGTTCATGGATTGCGATATGAAAAGTCGGATGGATGGGAAAAGTGTGATAGAAAAATAAAACAAAACAAAAAAAAAACAGTTGAGATGATTGGGAGAGAATCGCAAGTAGTGGACTGTGACTGGAGTCAGAGCTTCAAAAGCCACTACACACTAATGTATTCAGAACATAGGCTACAACTCTCCCATTCCTTGTGTTAACCCTGAACCAGAGACAAGGTCATGAGGTGTCTCACCTGGGCTAAAGAGAAAAGAGGCTTGGCTGTTGCACAGTGGTCCAAAAATCATCTGTTCAGAAGAAAGCTGCATTTTATTCAGACATCATGGTCCAAGAATCTGGAGTAAGATTAGACAGGGACAGAATCCAAGTTGCTTCTTGATGATTTAGGATGCCTCTGTCATTCTCTGCCGTTGGTCCTGTGGTCCTCCGTCATCTACCGGGATATTTCATGCTTCCCTCTGCTGACAAGCTGTATTGAGATGCTGATTTTTAGTCCAGTAAGGACTTGGTACCTGCCCACACAGCGAAACGTACCAACACCCGCTTTAGTGATAATGGCGTTTATGTGTTTGGCCTAAACCTCAGAGAATCCATAGAGTATTGTTAAGCATAGGCTTGCATGAAATTAGAAACTCATGCAACGGTAACGGACTGCAGTGACGGTATCCGTAGTGATAAATCCACATTTTTCCACAATCTTCTCTTCTTCAACTTCCGGTGCGTCCATCCTAGGTGATGCAATCGGTGGATCTACACTGCACCTGCTGCGGCGAGGCTTCGTCCGACAAGCCGAATATCTTGTTACCATCCCAAACTGTGAATTCATGATACTTGGAATATGTCAGAAAGTAATTAGTCCATCCCCAGCATGTCGGTGCGGTGTTGGTACCGATGTTTACGATGCTGATATGCTGTGCTGCTTTAGCCAAGAGGAAAACGAGAGACACCGAACCCAACAACGCAGATGAGCTGCAGCAAAGAAACCTGGGATTCCTTGAACACCTCAGCAGAGCCACAGGCTGAACGCCTCCATGCCATGCTGCATTGATGCACTGATCCATGCAACGGATGCTCCGCCGAGTATTGCGTGCATACACTCTACAGTACATGAACATACTTTGTAGAAGGTCCACATTTCTTTATTTAAAAAAAAAAAAAAAAAAAAAAAAAAAGATTTTCTAACTGAATTTTGAGCTTTCATTAGCTGTAAGCCATACTCATCTCATTTTACAAAAATAAAACATTCAAAAAGTATCACTCTGTGTGTAATAAATATATTTGATATACATTTTTTTTTCTCTCTCTAAAAACTGAATTACTGAAACAAATGCAATTTCGGAAGATATTCAAATTTACTGAGATGCACCTGTAAGCTTGGAAGATTTTAGTAAATCAAGAGAAGGAAACGAGTTAAGAGGAGAATAAAAGTAGTAAAGTGGGAGGTGTGGAGGGCATAGAGATAGAGGGAGAGTGGAGCCTGGCCTCTCGATGAGTGGGAGGGGTACCTTGGTCTCTGAAGTCCAGCTGATTGTGCCCGAGTTCTTCATCTTCCAGTATTTGATGAACTTGGTACCAGGCTCCAGACGGGTGTTATCAGGCAGATTTTCATCCAGAAACAAGGCAGCCATAGTGGGCACCAAGGACGTGTGCGAGACCCCGGGACCCCTAGTTTCAAGTGTACAGAGCATTGTTGAAAAAAAGCCCTGGTTTCTCTATAACACGCATCTCTTTTTGTTTCTCTACGAATCAAAAAAAAGCAGGGCCCCAGATTTTTTTTTTTTTTTTTTTTTTTTTGCAGCCCAAAAGCAAATTTTTTTTTTTTTTTTTTTTTTTTTTTTTTTCTAGAAAATCTATGAAGCAGCAGCAACAGTTTTCACATTGAGGTAGTTCCAACATTTGCCACCACCCCAGAGCAGCCAGCGAAAACACTCATACAGACTAGATTACAAAGATGGCATATTTTTGATTTCTTTTTCTTGGAAAAAAAAAAAAAAAGACTTTTTGCATCCATGCTGGGCTAGAGGTACCCAGCACTGTCGGACGCCCTTCCAAGGTGGCGCTTACTCTGGACTGGAGGCCTGGGGGTCGGGGACCGGGGCTGGGATGTGACCTGGGTCTGTGGCGGGACCTGAGGCTGATTCTGAGGCAGCGGGAGGAGGCAGCGCCGGGAACTGGGTGGATGTGGACGCCATGTTTGCCAGGCTGGCTCTGTCTGAGGTAGGGGGTCCGCTCCACTGCATCCCCCTCTTCTCCAGCCTCAGTTTCTTCTTGATTTCCTTCACCTCTGCTTTCAGCTGCCTTCTTTCAGCTTTGAGGCGCTGTCTCTCGGCCTTGCGCACAGTCCTGTCTCCTCGCCTTGGGAACCTGGTTTAAAATGTCATCAGGAACACCTATTTGTTGACTATCAAAAGTTTACTTTCCAAAATAAAATAAAAATAAAAAAAAAAAAAAAAAACAAAACACATTTTTTTTGCCTTGTCTTCACCTTTAATAATGTAGATGCTACAGCAAGAACTAGCACTCTCTTTCAAATCTACGTCAAGAAAGTAGTAGCTGGACGAGCCTCAGTTTTTAAAGGTTTACCTAAACTCTCCCGACATTCCATGCTCGGGGATGGAGAGAGGCGTCTTGGTTCTCACCAGGCTGTGGCTCGGATCGTGGCTGTGTCTGCACATCTCACACAGGATGCAGGATGGGCACACACTGGCAAGGAAACAGCGCCAAAAATAAATAAATAAATAAATAAATAAAAATCACTCAAAAAAGTGTGAAAGGAATTCATGGATAGGGGTGAATTTTAACAATTACGTAAAGAAGAGAACACTAACGCGTGACGTCAGTTGTTAGGTTTACATTGTCACATAGCGCAGTGTTGGTTTGGAGAAATTTATTTCCTCTTATTCAAAAACTTTTTTTTTTTTTTTTTAATTGATCAAGTTATTTTTTGACTGATTTAACTTTTTCTGATGATCTGAAACATTTCAGGATAACAACAAAGAAGAAACCTACAAAACTCCTTTTCCAGCACTGGAACTACTTTCATCAATTACCTTGAAAATCCCCTTGCAGGAATCAAATTCACCCTTCAGAACTTATTTTTGACAGCGTAGACATATCAATCCGCTACACCCGACCGCCCCACCCTAATGCCTACCTGCATTTGTAAGCCCCCTCAGAGGTGAGCTTGTTGCAGGTGCTGCAGTTTGGGGTGTACCCTAGCGATCCGTTAGAGGTGGAGGGGCCCGGTCGGGGCCCTATAGGTCCTTCAATGGCCCCACAGTCCTCTTGGAGCCCGTCGGAGGATTTGTGAGTGCAACACTGGCCGGAGAAGTCGTTGCACATCCGTTCCACCACCTCCTTTACGACTTCGTCCTTAAACTAAGACCCAAGAAAATAAAGTTTTAATTGTCTGAGGGAAAAGTTTTGCACAATTTTTTGGGGGGTTTTTTTATTTTCCCCAATCGGTAATGCTAACCTTCTCCATGTACGATCTGAACCACATAGGAGGAGGATCATCGTCAGGTTTATTCCCCTTGTTTTCTTTTACTGCTACCTGTAAGCAGAAACATAATCACATCTTAAACGTTAGATAAGAGATAGTAAAAGACAGAGATGAAGTCATTTTCACTGACTCATCCTTGTTGCATAAAGTCAGCAGATTATAACCAACAAAGAAAAATGAGTAAGACGACGGAAGATGGGTTTTCTTACGCTTTCTCGCTCTGGGGTGATCTGAGTGCCTTTGTCCACGGATTTAACTCTTGACGGGTACGGCGGAGCAGGTCGGAGGTCTCCTTTAAGCTCCTTCACCTCCGCCTTCAGAGGACCGCCGCATGCCTGACCCTTCATCTTGTACACATTCATGTGCAGCTGGTTCCCCTGCTTCTCTGCACTCTGAGAGGGACAGCAATGGACAGCAAACAATAAATTGAAGGCAAGAATGACAACATATGCAAAGAGAAAGTTTTTGCAGTAAAACACATCTAAGCTGCTTTTATTGTGCTGTTATAATAAAAGAAGCGCACACTTAAATGTTCACACCCTTTGAACCTTTTACATTTGGTGACTTTACATATAAAAAATTCTACCACCGTGTATTTTATCTTGTGGTGAAGAACTGTGAAGTTTAATGAAAAGGATAGCAAGTTGTGTAGTCCACAAATCTGGCATTAATGGGAAAGTTGGAGGGAGGGAGTCCATATGAAGGCCAGTCTGCAGTTTGCAACAAGCCATGTGGTGGACAAGGCAAACATGTGGAAGAAAATCCTCTGATCGGTGAGAACTTTTGTTTGGCCTACATGCAAAAAAAATGTGCAATCTTTCAGTAGATAGAAAAAAAAATTGACAGTCTGAGAGCTACAAAACAAGGATTCAGATGAAAGCACATGCTTGGGTTGGAAAGTCCAGACCTAAATCCAATTAAGAGTCTGTGACAAAGACCCTTCATGAAATCTGGCTGAGCTTGAGCCATTTGGAAAAGAAGAATGTGAAAGGATTTCAATATGTAGATATGAAAAAGCTCAGAGGAGTGTACCTCAAAAGACTTGCAACTGTAACCCTTAACCAAAGGTGATTCAACAAAACATTGACTCAGAACACAAATGCTTGCCTCAATTTCATTTTCAGATTTTTATAAGCAAACAATCTTGATGATGCTTTTTGCTCCTTTCACTTTCTAATTATGCACAGCCTCCAGTTGGTCTATCGCTTGAAATCTAGATGAAATACGTAGAAACCCAAGAGACTTAAAACGTTCAAAGGGGATGTATGTCTTTGCAGCGTGCTGTGCCTCTTTTATCACATAATTACAGAATAACAGAGAAAACATTGTAGTGCTACTCAGCCAATAGTTTCCAAGAATATCCAGCAGCGCTACAATACCTTGATTGCTTCTTCGTATTCATCTGCAAAACAAAAACATTGTGTATTATCAACGCGTTACTCGAGTGCCATGACGGAAAACCATCAGTGATTATTATTCTTACCTTGACTGTTTATGCAGATCTGAAAGAAAACATACATAGGGTCAGAATTAAATAAGTCGCTAACTTTCATTATTGTCAAAAACAAATACGCCATTAACCACAGTTGGCAGTTCTTAGCCATATGCAAAGCAACCAGGCTGAGATTCGGTTCCTCAAAGACCAAGGTCGTGGTCCTCAACTAGAAAACATCGGACTACTCTGTCAGACTCCGGACTCACTGGAGAGACTATAAATAACTTTTAGCCTGAGAACACATTGGGATTGCCCAGAATAAGCTGGACAGTATTTAACTGGACCTGGACCACCTACTATTGTGACCCAATCTCAGCTAAATTGAAAACAATGGATGAGTTGAACTGCCTTATATATTTTTGACAGTGTCTGGAACATTCCTTAGAGATTTTGGTGCTTTGGCAAACAAACAGTTGGAAGCAGATTTTACATCTATGATGTAAATCTTCTGAATTTGGTGGAATATGTTGGATTGAGATATGGGGACTGGGGAGGCCACTGGGGTACAGCGAGTTTATTGTCATGAGGGACATGGCCCACAACGACATAGACCAAGTAGGTTGTACTATTTGAGTAAAGGTCTGTTGGTAATAATGGGTTCAAACTATGCCAAGAAAACATCTCCCACCCCACCAGCAGCAACAGCATCCCGAAACACCAACACAAGGCAGGACGGACTCAAGCTTTCACGTTGTTTATTCTAAATTCTGGGTCTATGATCTGAATGTTGCAGCTGAAATAAAAACTCATCAGATCAGGAAACATTCTTATCTTAGGACCCATTATTTGCCAGTCATGTGGTGAATCTGTGTGAACTGCGTGCCTCCATTTTGTATCAACTAGATTTGGGCCAGTCTCAAAGTATAACTAGAGTTTAAAACGTTGCTCCATTAAAATGGCAAATTTTGCTGTTCCCAAAGTTTTCAGAACTTTAAAACTTTGTATATTTACTTAAAGATATATTGTGGCAATCACAGCACATCTCATGCCCAGTACCCATGTTTTAACATTTGGTCCTTTCATTTTGTTTTGCTTATCCTTTTTATTTCACTTAGATGTTGATTTAGATTTATTAAAGGCATAAACATGCATGTAATTGTTTGAATTACATGCATATTATTACTACAATATTATTTTCTGAAAACTTAATTTTAAATCCCATTTCCAATTACTGGGCTTCTGATCCCCATTGAAGATCAGTCGACTTCAATGAGACATTACTTTGACCCAACTCCATTATGTATTGGATTCACCTAACCACTGTTCATGTCAGTAGACCACAAGCAGATTGCAGAAAATGTTCTTTTCTGCCCCTTTAATTGGTTTTTGGCACTTGTAGTTTTTATTCACAATTAAGACAGTAAGGGGGCAGAGAGAGAAGAGTAGGACACCTGCAGGAAAGGCCTCGAGGTCAGGAATCAAACCCAGGATGGGTGCGTCAAGAACTATAGTTTCTGTATATAAGGCTAGCACTTAAACATTACACATACACCTAGCGGTCATTTTCAAAATTTCCCCACAGACTATTTAAAGTGAGCTATTTGCAGCCACATGACTTTAGTTAGAAATCACTAAATGAAGTCACCGTTTGTCTTTCTCGAGAACTTATTTAATTAACATCAGTGGCTTGGCATTACACCCCAAATAGTTCAGAATGTTTTTTTTTTGTTGTTGTTTTTTTTGTCATTTTAAACAAGCTGGTCTAATGCTGGTGCGCTGCCATGGACAAGACAAGCATAAAACAAACAAACTGTTCCTGATATGACGTAAGGAGGACATGGGTGGGGCAGAGTCACATGCTGCAGGCTGAACTATGAACTGTACCATCACTGGGCAGGAATGGGGTTTAATATTATTGTCTTGGCTTCATTTTTGTGTATTTCTTTTTTTGTCTGGTGGTCTGATCAATCATTATTCACCCTTTGTCTCAATGTGACATCAGTTTGTTGAGTAATTAACATGTAATTGTACCTGCTCTGAACTTGGTTTGGTTACTTTGGTGTCTTATCCACGCAGTCATTTGTAATTTCTACCATTGCTTTAACATTTGTTGGCAGAAATAAAACAACAAAAAAACAACAACAACAACAATCTGAAAACATCAAACCGCCAAAATGTTAATGTCTTCTAACAGGGTTTCATGTGATAGACCAAGAACAAGTTGTATGTAATTGTGGAACTGAATTAAAATAATACACAGTTATAATACATTTCCTAATTAAAATGCATTTTAACCATTTATCTTCTGAGCTCATCTAATTAGTAAGTAGAGTCCACCTGTACATAAATTAATCTCGTTATCAGCACAGCTTTGTGAAGGCCTCAGGGGTGAACAAACATGTAAAGATCAAAGAACACAGCAGACATGGTGACTCTGGAGGAGCTGCAGACATCCTCAACTCATGTGAAGAATCCATTAACAGGACAGCTATTAGTAATGCACTCCACACTCCACAAGCCATGTAGGGCAAACATGAAATGTTGTGCAAGTAAATAATGGGCAGCAGCTTCTGTTAAAATCCATAAGACAAAAATAAATAAATTCTACATCTATTGTATAATTACATAATGCTTCTTTGTGTTGGCCTACTCCATAAAACCCAATGAAATACATTAAATGTTGTATTTGTAAAACAACACGAAGAAAAAAATATTAAGGGGCTTCAATACGTTTGGCATAATTTACATACGCGTCTCTGGTCAGCATGGGTATCATATTCTCCAGTGAGTGTATTTAAAATTTGAAAATCAACAATTTACTCACGTCATAATGGCTTTAAATACGTAAAAATATATCATAAAATAGAAAAATATATAATATTTTTTCTTTATCTATGTGTTAATGTTATTGTTTATGTTATCGATCGAATACTTCCTGGTAAGGGCGCCATGTTTACATATAGAGAGTCTTACCTCTTCATTATCTTCATCAAAGTACTTAACTTGAAAGTGGTTGATCCCAAATGACGCTTTGATCTGAAATGTAATGTGAAGGAGTCATTATTCAACCCACAGAAAACAATGTCTTTAAAAAAAAAATCAGCTATTCACACACACGTACAACAAACCCTCAATAATAGACATTTCAGGCTGAGAAATATTACACATCGACAGCTGGAAAATGGATGTAGGAACAAAAGCTTTATTCTCAAAACAAGCTAAGCACATTCTCATTTAAAATGACCAACTCTGCACATATCTTGTTGACCGAATCGACCGTCCTTCAGGTGATCTGCTGTTTACGTGTCTGCTAGGCCATTTCTGGGCCTGCTCTTCCCCAAACTGCGCCAGCTTTTTTCCTCCAGCAGCTTACCCAGGCTTCCACGGACTCCCACTCCAATTTGTCCACATCCTGAGCCAGGAATCTCTTCACATTCCCGCGAAAATTGACTTTAATCGTGACCGGGAGCCCCATGACGGCCGTCTAAAGCGTATTTAATGACTTTCATTTGAGGTGACGTCGGCCTGCTTGATCCCTTCTGCCCTCGACTGTCTTCTCTTGTTTACATCGTCAACTGCGTCACGAGTAGACGGTGACGACACTGCCGTCTCTTCTTCTGTAAATTAGTTTACATTTACCGCCGCCTGGTGGACTGGAGTATGTAAAAACAAAAAATGAAATAAAGCTGTAGTAGAATACAACAGAATGTATTGTCATTTATGCAAATATATTGTTGTACAAGCACATTGGAGTTATTTTTGCGTTTCTCCAACTCAAGAATAGTACAAGTTTAAAATAGAGAATTAATACATGTACAATAAAATGGACACAAAAAGAAAACCAACATCCATTCAAGAAATAAATTAAAGTTTACAATCTAAAGGTTTTTCATATCAAGAATTTGTTTTGGTTACAAGAGGGCGGTAAAGTTTTTCTATTTATTTATTTTATTATTATTACCGATACTTAAAAAAGAGAGAGATTTTTTTTTCCAATACAGAAATGAAAGTAAAATAATGAAAAATTATGATACAGCATCACTCACCAATAATTCTGATTGGTGATAGTAGATGCAGAATTGTTCAAAGTTTAACCTTAACTTAACCAGCCGAGTAATTAAGAACAAATAAAGACATGGGGGGCTTGGGAATATGACACCCTGTCGTTCATAGTTATCCTGGTAGGGGGCGACATCCACACTGAGATGGGTTTGTAATGCGCCGATAAACCCAAAGAGAAAGAGACAAAGAGTGTGGCTGAAAAGTAAAAGAAGCCACACATTTAGCAAGAGAATTTGATGCCAGTGGGACAATCTTTACTCTCTTGTTTGATCACAGAAGATGTCTTCACTCCTCAAGGTGGACAGTGAAATTAAAACCAAGGTGAGATTCAAACCTCGTCGGAAGTCCCGTCAATAGCTCTTCGACGTGTTATCGGTGTTCAGTAGCGTCATGTTAGCCGCGCTGGGTTCATAATGTGTGCTGCTAGGTTGATAGCAGATAACGGCGGCCAGCCGGCGTGTTTCCGTCCCGCTGTAATCCACTCGTGGAAGCGATTAAACAGGTTCTGGTCGACTTTGACGGTAATATCCCGGTAAAATGAGGCGTGAGTTCCTTTGTAGTGCATTATGTACGAGTTAGACGCAGCAGGGAGAGCACATGCGCTTAAGGAGGCCTCGGCTGGGCTAAGTGAACGAGCCATAGTTATACCGGTGTTCACCGGCTTTGACTTCATTTAAGCAGATGTTTCCCTTTTGTTCAGGCCCCATAATAGAGGAAGCTGTGAATTTCTTGTTTATGAAGTTAATTAATATTTTCTACAAAACGGTGATATTTCCACATAAAATAATGAATAGGTTGCTTAGAAAAACTCCCAAAATATTTTTTTTTGATGAACCTTACCTTTTGTTAATTTATAAAATCTACAATCTAATTGGTAAAATCAATTAAATTTTACCAATTGGATTGTATATTTTGCTGGCAATTTTTGACAACCCATATTGTAAACCCCCTGACTTGACGTTTTCACTCTTTTATAAATTTCCACAAATTTAGTAAAATTCTGCAGGAGATGGAACCGAAATAAAGAGAGAACTTGTTTCCCAGACCTCCCTTAAAAAAAAAAAAACGGCAGTGATGAGACTCGTTTAAGTAGCTAGTGACTCTGTCTGATCAGAACAGACGCTAACCTGGTCAAATATTTTTGCATTCTATTACCATTCTTGCAAGGTTCAATAAAATGCAGTTTCAGTGTTGATCTCCAATCCTGTTGTTTGCAGGTTGATGCTTTCAGGGAACGTATCACTTCAGAAGTAAGTGTCTTGTTCTGATAGTCCCATGTACAGTGTCCAGTTTTAAAAGGATTTTCCTCTAAAAATGTTTCCTTCTTCTAGGCAGAGGACTTAGTTGCGAATTTTTTCCCCAAGAAGTTACTGGAACTTGATCACTTCCTCAAGGTGAGTCGGTGTTATTTTTTATTTTTTTTGTTTTTATTTTTGTAGAAGGATTTACACCATAATTTTACCTCATTAACTTTAACGTTTAGCACCAACAAAAGCTATTTAAAACAGTAGGAAGTTTTCATGCAAAATAAAGGTGAAGTTGTTGGGGGTGGAGGAGGGCTTTCCAGGAAGATGACGGTAAACATTTTTTTGCCGATTTCATACTTAATTACTGGTTATAATGAAAGCCTTTGCAAACTTAACATTTATTAGATCATCTCCATTTATGTGCAAAGTGTCTCCAAAAATCCATATTCTAAATCACATAAAATTAATTTAGGAAGATGCATTTTTTTTTTTTTTTTTTTTTTGGTCATGTGATAAACAAATGCCTTATCAGGGTGAAAATTGGTGAAAAAACACAAGTTTTGGGAGTCGGAATGTTGCTGTGCTTTTGACCACCCAGCCAGCAGAAACGAGCCCAGAACACAACACTCCACTAAAGGAGGAGTTCCACTTATCAGCCTGGAGCAGGGTGAAGTGTTGGCAATGTGCCATCCATTGATCTGGAGAAAAGGGAATTAACCTTCAATTAAAAAAATTAAAAAAAGCTAAGCGTTTCACCTCTTTTGAGACAAAATAATTAGAATACTTTGCTTTATTTGTAAAGAAGCTGCTTAAATGACTCGAGTGGAAACAGTAATATTACCCCAGTTTCCTTTGTGACTCCTATTAATTGTACATGAATTGTTGCGTAGTGTTGAGCGTAATACATAAATGGCCTCCTGGCTTGCAGAATTTTCATGAAATTTGTGCCCACTGGGTACTGTGCTGGGTTATAGAAAAATGATAATTTATTGTAATTTGAGATGAATGTGATATGATCCCTGGTGTCTTCTTTTTTCTTTTAAAATAACCAACAAAGTACCTATATGAACACAAACTAAAAAATTAAATTAAGAGAACAAATCTTATCACTGATTATAACTCTGTTGGCATGATTCCCCCCCCCCCCCAAAAAAAAAAAAAAAAAAAAAACCCCAATTTTTTTCCAAAACACATTTTGAAAATCTTTTTTTTTTTT